TGTTCGTACTTCTCTCCGTGATGTGAAGTTGCCCTGAGTTCTTCTAATGCTTCTCGAATCTTATCGTAAGGTGTACTCACTGTGCATCTCTCTTCGGCCTCTTGTTGTGATTTTCTTTTGTCGTATTCAGCCAATTCTGACTCGTATCTGGTCCAGGCTTCTCTACGCTGTCGAGCGTGGTGTTGGCGCCCTTGTTTCAACTTGTTTTTCCTTTCTCTAGCCTGTCTCTGACTCTCGGTTTCTCCATCGTAGCCCTGGGCAAAGGGTGATATGTTGGATTCTGATTCATCTGATGACCTGACATCGGGTGCTTCTGGGGGGTTTAATGGTGACCGAGGACGTCGAACCATGAGCACTTCCCGTGCGTGAGCCGTTCCGTTATTGGTGTTAGTTTTCATCTTTGAGTTGAGTTCTTGATGACTTCGAGAGGCGCCTCGACGTCGTAGATTGAGTCTCCTTCTTGGTAAGGTAGAATAGCTGTTGTTGTTGTGCCGACTAGTTGGGTTCCGCTATCCTCAGGAACGGATCCTGGCCAGTGGATGATACAGTCTTGCGATGTTATCGTTAGTACGAGACCCTCCTGAGCTCCTGTCAGTGGTATCCCAAGTGTTGGTTTGAAAGACCTTTCAAACTGTCCCTAATAGGATTTTGTCGTGTTGTCGAGCCCAAATGGAAAAGAACTCGGCCTTTTGAAAGAATTCTGAGGATAATCCGAGTTGTTTTGGGTTGTGCTCTGGAATCTTGCCAAAAAGGAACTCGATTTCTTGAAAGCACTCGAATAAGACTTCATCTCGGATACGGAGCTTGAATTCGAGTCGGATGCGTGTAGCCGTGGAATCTTATTCGAATCGGGTATTATGGGCTGCGTGAATCTTCTGGTGAGCTAATCCGTCGTAGTTGTCGAAATAGAGGATTCTTCATGATGATCCGGATCTTTGAGGAGATGGCTTTGAAGCTTGCCGTAGTTGTCCGCCTCGCAGATCCATGAGCCGAAGATGAAAATCGATCCCGTCGGGAAGATCATGTTATTGATGTCCATCGAGGTCTCGGATGCAAAGTCGCTGAAATCCCCTACCTGGCGCGCCAGCTGTCGATGTTTTACCACCGATAGCCTGCCACAGGGGTACCGTGGGCAAGATGTCGTTCGAAGCTTCGGCGTATCTTTGAACTTCGATGGTAAACGCAAGAGACGATGATTTATTTATCTGAAATCAGGCCCTCGATCGTAGATCGAGTAACGACCACGCCCAATCGGCGTTTTGCCTTTTGCGTTGGATTGATTATGAAGTGTTCATTTGTACAATTGTCGTTTTTTCTTTTCAGAGCCCCGCCCTCCTTTATATTATCGAGGGCCGAGTCCTAGTCGGTTTACAATGAGATTTCCTAGTAGGATTACTTAATAGTTCTTCTATTTAAGATTACATGGGAAGAATCCTAGTTGAACTAGATCTTTTATCTCTCTTGCGGGGTATCCTGTAGGTCCCACATCGACAGCAGGGCACTCCGGCGGAAGAAGGAACTTCATCACCCCTAATCGAGTTCGCCTCACCTCCAAGTGATATCACTGAGTTCGTGGACGTCTACCACGAAGGTGAGGAGTTGAGGTTCCGCAGGCTGGACGACATCGTCGGCGGCACAGGTCCCTCAGGTATGGCGGTAGGCTGCTCAACGATGCAGAGCTGCTACTCGTCGGTCTGCGAAGGAACCACCATGTTCGCGCTAGCCGAGCGCGATGGAAACTGGCGACGGGCAATGCTGGAGGAGATGAAGGCGATCGAGGAAAACGAGACTTGGCAGCTCGTCGATCCACCCCCAGGATGCCGTCCGATCAGCCTGAAGTGGGTGTACAAAGTCAAAAGGGATGAGCTCGGCGCCATTGTGAAGCATAAGGTGCGCCTCATCACTCGAGGCTTTGTCCAGCGCGAGGGCATCGACTTCGAGGAGGTCTTTGCACCAGTAGCGCGCATGGAGTCGGTCCGTTTGCTACTTGCTTTGGCGGCAAAGAAGGATCGGCGCGTCCATCACATGGACGTTAAATCGGCCTTCCTCAACGGCGAAGCCGGCGGAAACGGTCTTCGTCCGGGCAACCTCCGTGATTCGGCTGTCAAGGGAGAGGAGCACAGGTGCTCCGATCACAAGAAAGCGCTTACGGCCGAGGCAAGCCCCTCGAGCATGGAACGCCAAGCTTGACACCACGCTGGGCGAGCTTGGGTTTTAGAGGTGCGCAACCGAACACGCGCTCTACACGCGACGACGGGAGAAGGAAGAACTCGTGGTCGGCGTGTATGTGGATGACTTAATCGTCACCGACGCCAGCGCATCGGAGGATATCAACAGCTTCAAGCGAGAGATGGCAGCTCGTTTTCGAATGAGCGATCTCGGCGCTCTCTCCTACTACCTCAAAGATCGAGGTGAGACAGGGAAGGAGGAACTCACGCCAGAAAAGCGTGTATGCCTCCAAGCTGTTGGAGAGGAGCGGCATGGTGGAGTGTAAGCCATGCGTGAGTCCGATGGAGGAGCGGGTCAAGTCGACGACGGCGGACGAAGACCGCAAATGAAAGTAGATGCAACACTCTCACCGAGAGCATCGTCGGGCGGTCTCGCTACCTAGTCCACACAAGGCGGACATTGCGTTTGCCGTGGGCTCGTCGATCGCTTCATGGAGGATCCCGAGATGATCATCTGGCTGCGGTGAAGCGGCTACTACGCTTCGTCAAGAGGACGGTGAATCATAGAATCATCTTCCCAAAGACCGGAGAGAAGTAGGTTGCGCTCACGGTGTTCAGCGATCTGATACATGGCGAGGGACATCGACGGACGATAGAGCACCTGTGGCGTACTCGTCTTCCTCGGGTCGGCCCCAATTTCATGGCTGTCGCTGAAACAAAAGGTGGTGGCGCTATCTACGTGTGAGGCAGAGTACGTAGCGGCGGCCACAGCGGCGTGCCAAGTTGTGTGGCTGACATATCTGTCATTGGGTGAGCTAAATCGCGTGGAAGCTCACCCACCAAAGACTGATGGTGGACAACCAGCCCGCCATCGCCCTCGCGAAGAATCCGGGTTCTCGCACGACCGAGTAACACACATCGACGTGAAGTTCCACTTTCTCGGGACTGTGTTGATGGAGGGCAGATCGTCATCGAGTTTATCGAAACTGGTTAGCAACTCATGGACGTCCTCACCAAGCCGCTCGGAAGACTTCGACTCACGGAGCTGAAGGAGATGATCGGCATGGAGGGGTTACAAGGGTTAGCAGTAGGATTAGGGGAAGATTGTTAGCTAATCTACTGCCACCTTGTGAGAACACAATGAGAGGGAAGACGGCGCCGACTTAGTCACTGCTCGCCGTGTGTAAACACAAAGAAGGGAAGGCGGCGCCGACTTTGCCCCCTATTTGTGATACAATGGCCGCTGTGAGGTGTGCAGGCGCCAGACGGCTCACTCCTGCAAAGATCAGAGGAACAGCGAAGGGCAGGCGCAGAGTCAGCCTGTCGGGTTATCTAGTTATCGTGCAAGATGGACGCCGCACATGGACTAGATAGTTAGAGTTGTATAAATAGACATGTATGGCAACTCAAGAAAGAGAGCTCAGATTTGCCATCACACGAGGCGGGGCTTCGCCAACGCCGTTGCCTTGTATTGTGCGTGCTTTGCTCTGTTCTCCTTCCTCTTCTAGCTCGATCCGTAGTATGTGGGTACGGACAACGCCGCAGACGCGGTCTGCACGCGACGGCTAGTGGGTGCTCGGCAACACTAGCGCGCGTGCTCGGCGAGACCGAACAAGTGCTTCACTGCGTCGAGCCGGTGTTCGCAAGATCGGCCGGAGTGGTTCACCGTCTCGAGCCGGTGATCCCGTAAGACCAACGGTGATCTCAAGGCTATCTCGGTGGTCTGGAGGCTATCAGCTAGTGGTCGGAGACCACGGTCGGTGGTCTGGAGGCTATCTGTGGGCCAACAGCCACGCAGGCCCTCCACGGCGCAAAGATAACCGGACCGTCGCCAAGCTCGAGCGATAGCAGCTCGTCCGATTCCAGGCACCGCCAGCGGCGCCGCCGACGTCGTCCCATCCAGAATCGGAGAGTGCGGCCGCCTCTTAAATCACGCCATTAGGCGCCCTTCTTCCTAAAACGCTTCCCGGTTGTTCTTATTACACGCACGCGCGGTGACGGTGTGACGCCACCTCACCGTCGTCATCGTCGAGTAACTTGAACTCGCTACGCTTCTTCGCCAACGCCGCCGCTTCCTACATCTCGCCTCGGTACTGCGCGCCCTTGGCGCCGGCGCAAACATACTGCTTATGAAGAATCCTGCCAGACGCGTCGTCCCTCGAGGCGATGGCGATTCGGGAGGAGGGAAACAGCCAAGATTGCCGAGCCGTGCCCGACGCGCCGCCGCGCGCGCGGCCTCCGGCGTCGGCTTCGGCGAGCTTCTTCAGCGACCTGAGAAGAGCGATGCTGCGGCAGCAATGCCGGACCGCTTCGTCGACGTTCTCCGTCGACTGTTGTCGTCACACGCGACGACGCCGTTGTCGTCGTCCCGCGCGCGCAGCACCGCAGCGAAGCGACGTGGCGTGCGCCCATCCGGGGGCGGGCGCTTCGCCCGCTGGGACTTCACGCTCCTCCGCCGCGTCGGGGCCGGGGACATCGGCACCGTCTACCTGTGCGGCCTCGAGAGCCAGGCTGCCGAAGGGTCGTCCGCGTGCGACTACGCCATGAAGGTGGTGGACCGGCGCGCGCTCGCCAAGAAGGGCAAGGTGGAAGAAGGACGCCGCGCGGGAAGCCATATCCGCGCGTGTTCGCGTCAGCATAAAGTTACGCGTAACGGTGGAAGATTTACCATGATTAGGAGAGGATTTAGGGAATTCTTAGAGATGCTCTTATATATATATATTTTTTTTTTGCGAGGGACGGATAGTTATATTCAGAGTGGTGTTAACAGTTAGTACACGGCTCATATATTTACTGCTATATATAATACACATATTCAGTATTTTATACATATCACACTCTATGGCGGAGGCCAAGCCTTGCCAAATACTTGCCTCCGCCCCTGCTCAGCAGCGAATCACACTCTATTTGTTTGCCCTGAGGTCTCTTCAACGTGTCCGGGAGACACTTTGCCACATATATCATCAATGGACTTTGATCAATATCAGGATTTAGGCATTGCATAACTATTTCTATGATACTGTAAAGAAGCTCCATGTTTTCTGCTATTGCAATTTCTGGATCAACAAGCTGGATCACTTTCTTATTTCTGTAAGCATCAAGAAAATCCTGGAGCAACCAATTACCGTCGGGAACCGAGTGTTTTCTCCTCGTAAAGAGTTCTAACGGCACAATCCCGAAACTGAAAACATCAGATCTAATGGTTAACCGGCCAGTCTGCAGATACACTGGATCTATAAGTCTCCTATCACCAATGACATGGGCAGCATCTTGGGAAATATACTTCTAGATGATCACCATGCAGACACGCCAATGGTTTCATTGAATGCATATAAGCTAGACCACTTGCTATTCCTGCAGCAATATTTAGACGTACATCCAAACTGAGAGGCATCCTGTTGATGCCAAGAAGAATGCCGTCGAGGCTACCCTTGGACGACGCAAAGTAAAAGACCAGAACAAGGATATCATTATCTAAGTGATAACCAATGAGCCTAAGAATGTTCACGTGACTGAGTTGAGCTTGAAAGTAAAGTTCTTTTACAATTACAGAATCATGTCCAACACTCTTTGTTATTGATCTCGTAACTGCAACTGGACATTTATCATCGCCAAGATAGTGAATATACCCCCTGTAAGTTTCAAAATAGTTGCCTCTACTAATAATATTGCCACTCCTAAAAGTTGGCCCCAGCTCCTCCATTTTGAATAGCGTTAGTGTTTCTAGATTTGGCGTTGTTAGTGTTTTTTTTAGAAAGGCGACAAGAGATTGGCCGGAATTTTATTAGACGAGGAAAAGAAAAACGAAAGCGGATTACAAAAACAAATGTTGGAGGCCAAAAGCCCCCACGACTGTGGCGCTAAGGCCACCTACCCGACTAGACGCCCTCCTGGGCAAAGAAAAACAACTGAGAACTAACTCAAAAGCGAGAAAACAACTGAGAAACAAACTTAAAAACGACACACGCAGGGAAGCCTGGCCGGGGTTCCCCGGCGGAGGCCAAAAGCTTAAACTAAAACTAAAACTAAACTTGCTGACTTCCGACATTTGTTCTTGTCGCCAACTTGTATTGTTCCAAATCTTCCTTGCACAACAACGCCGCCTGTATCGGCTGCAACGTCTTGTATTTCGCTAACAAGACGTTGCAGCCGATACAGGTGGCGCTGTTGTGAAGTTCTCAGTAACTGTGAAGTGATCCTTCCAGGCGTTCGATGGTATTATGATCTATTTTTGGTGGAACGCCTCTCTTTGATTTTTATCAATCCTTGCTCGACACTTGAGCAAGTAACCGTGAAGTGATGTTAGTGTTGGAGAGACATTCCTGGTGGCTTTGCTGCGTGCAGTCCAATTGAAGATGTCCAAACTGCCTACCTTGTAAAGCAATGCAGAGTTTGAGTTGGCAGTGGTTATATTGTCCTGGTTGACTTTCTGTTCTCCCCGTAACGACCATTGAGTAGTTTTTCCCTTCCCTTGATCATGAAGCTTGTGAAGACGCTGTACAATATCTTTCATATCAGGGCGTTCATTGAGGTTCCTTTTGAGGCAATCAGCTACAAGCTTTCCAACTTTATTCAAAGTTTTCCAATCAGCATTCAAAATTTCAGTATCAAGCATCTCTCTTATCTTTTTACCCTTTTCAACAGCCTTCATGAAGTTTTCTGTGAGATCACTACACGTCCCGTTTTCACATATTTTCTTCCTAGTTATTAATTCTAGAAGAACAACTCCAAAACTTTAGCATCATTCTTTGGATTAATGTGCCCCTTAAGAATGAATTCAGGATCCACATAGCCAATGCTCCCAATGACATTAATGGTGTACTGAGTTCTGTCCATTGATAATAACCTTGATATTCCAAAATCAGATAATTTTGCACCCAATTTATCATCTAGAAGTATGTTTTCAGGCTTGATGTCACCATGAATGATGGGTTGATACATTGAGTGCATGTAGTTCAATGCCTCTGCGCATTCCATAGCAATACTAAGCCGGGTAGCTAATGGAATGGGATCATGAGAGATATGAAGAAGTTTACTGAGGTTTCCACGGGAGATAAACTCTGACAATCATCAAAGCATTTTCTTCTCTGCAGTAGCCCAATAGCCTGACTACACTCTTATGGTTTATCTGAGAATGGACAATTAACTCTTTGGCAAACTCTTCATTACAGTTCTTCTGGATATATTTCTTCACTGCAACTAGACTACCATTATCAAGAAGCCCTATGTAAACTTCTCCAAAAGCCCCTTTCCCAATGGGTGTGGCATAATTCTTTGTGATCCTTTGGATGTCACATTGAGTGAATTGAGTTATATAGTGATTGTTGACTGGTCTCCACTTGGCCTTTTCATTGTCTTTAATGAAGTCTGCCAGCTTGTTCTCCGGAAGATCCATTTCCATTTAACAGATGTAAGAAAGATTACGCACGGAGCAAAATACTGATCACCTGTCACCACAGAGATGTCCATTCACAATGCTGAAGTCAATTTAAAGATACAGGAGATCTACACGAACTTTGCATAATTACAGCAAAAGCATGCTGCTATTAGCTTTCACAATTTGAATGAGTAATCAGACCTGATGTGTAGTGCAGTTTCGTTGAATATTCAAGCATAATAATAAGATGATGGAAATATTTTTCTTACTGTGCGCTCTGTTACAACAGATATCCAGAGTTAGTGCTATGAGTAGGAATATTAATGCAGCAAAACTCGAACCGTAGGGTCGAGAAAAGGTCTTGAAAGCCTGCAGCACGTAAAGTTCGAGAGGTGCATCATTCATCTATGAACAACAACAAATGCAGTAAAACTCGAACTGCAGGGTCCGGTCAGTAAGACAACAAGGGGCATTTTTTATGCGAACCAGGATTTGAACCCTGGCCAGTTGCTTCCCCAATAGGAATAGGACCTACTACCATGCTATTGATGTGTTTGCATGCAGCGGCATATGCAATCATGGACATGAACATTTAACCTGATGTACTGTAGGGAAGCAAAAAAGCCTGATGTACTACAACTAGAAGAACGGTGTGTACCCTCAAATTTTCTTGTCAAATTTGATCCACACGAAATCGGGATGAAAGAAGTTAAAGAGAGAACGGAAGCTAAAAATCGGTGAAGGTAGGCACCATAGTACAGACGCATACCTCTGATCGATCGGCCAGCCGGGTAATCCTGCGCGTATAGTTGGGATGGGGACCAAGCACGACGAGAGCTGCCTTGGGCCTCTCGAGTTAACGCTTGTTCGTGGCCTTGTTAGTGTCTTCATATAAAAGTAAAAAATTAGCCAGCTGGAATCACATTCGCATGACTGGTGAGCGATAAAGTACAGTTTGTTTTCAATGATGCATAGTTATTCATGGCGGAGTGTTACACAATATGTTCTTTTGTATATTCAAGTGTACTGCTGAAGGGTCTTGTAGTCTACACCAAATCTCCAGAAGTAACAAAATCCGGACAGAAATGACAGACAAGAGTTCACCGCGTCACTGTCAAAGAGACCTCGTGATAGGATTTCGGACCCTACGGGCGAATGGTCGGAGGTTGTAAGGGTGAGAGATCGGGGGACGAGCTCGGCGACGGCTCTGAGGCGCCGTCCTTACAGCTGGTCGCAACGAAGAGCGAGGAACACGACGAAGGCGCTACAGTATCACGGTACTGTTCACGGGAGAGAAAGAGAACTCGGCGGCTAGGGTTTCTCCCTATGTTTCTGCTTACCAAATTAGTCCCTGATCACAAGTATTTATCTCGTCTATTGAAATATGAAAATAACCCCCTGATTCTATAGAAATTATCTAGACTTAGCCACTAATACCCTTTCGCCGGCTATAATGCATGCCGGTCATAACATCTCTCCCTGCCTGCGCAAACAGCTCGTCCTCGAGCTGAAAGTCGGGGAAATGAACACGGAAATCCTCCAAGGGCTCCCAAGTAGCGTCGTCGTTCGGAAGCCCACGCCACTTGATCAACACATGCCAGACTCCACGGCGCTGCTGCGCCCGTAACGCCCGAGCTGGCTCTGGAGACAGCCGGCCATCGACGGTCGGCGGCAAAGCATACTGGCGATCTTGGCGGCTCCCCCGATGGCGCTTTTTAGGCTCACATGAAAGACATTGTGGAGCCGGGCACCCTCAGGAAGCTCCAAGCGGTACGCAACAGCGCCCACGCGTTCCAGGACCCGGAACGGCCCGGCGTAACGCGGCCCGAGCTTGTGCTTGGCGCGGGGGTCCAGTGACTGCGTAGTGCGGTGAAGTAGGCGCAGCCAGACCCAATCGTCGACGGCGAACTCGATATCGCGGTGGCCAGCGTCGTAGTACCGCTTAAGCGAGCTCTGCTGGGCTGTAGTAGTAGACGCGATTAGCGAACCTCCGCGAGAATCTCGTCGCGGCCACGGAGGAGGGCGTCAGCAACCTCCGTGCGCGCCGTCCCCGGCTGGTACGGCACCATGGGCGGTGGCGGGCGGCCGTAGACGACCTCGAACGGCGACGCGCGAAGGGCGGTGTGGAAGGAAGTATTATAACAATACTCCGCCCACGAGAGCCAGTCCACCCATGCGCGAGGCCGATCACCTGTAACACAGCGCAAGTACATAGCAATCACCTTGTTAACCACCTCGGACTGGCCGTCGGTCTGCGGGTGGAACGCCGTGCTGAGGCGCAACTTGACGCCCGCCATCCGGAAGAGATCACGCCAGACATGCCCGGTAAACACCGGATCCCGATCACTGACGATGGATGTGGGGAACCCGTGCAACCGGACGATGCCGTCGAAGAATGCCCGAGCGACGGAGGTGGCCGTATATGGGTGGCCCAGCGCAATGAAATGCGCATACTTCGAGAAGCGATCCACCACCGTCAAGATGACCGACTTGCCGCCCACCTTGGGGAGGCCCTCGATGAAATCCATGGAGACGTCCGCCCACACTTGGGACGGCACCTCCAAGGGCTGCAGCAGCCCGGCAGGCCGTAGAGACTCCGTCTTGTTGCGCTGGCACACCTCACAGGACCGCACCCAGTCTTGCACCAGGGTGCGATCGCCGGGAACGAAGAAGTCGGAGCGAAGGCGGTGGAGAGTCTTCTGGACGCCCTCGTGGCCAGCGGAGTGGGCCAGCGAGAGCACCTGGTGGCGCAGATCACCGTGGTCGGGCACGAAGATGCGGCGCCCGTGGAGAAGCAGCCCGGCGTCCGAGCGCCAGGGCGCCTGCAGCTCGCCGGCCGCCAACTGCTGTTGCAGCAGCTGCGCATCAGCCGCCGTCACAGTCGCGCGGCGGATGTCATCGATGAAGGCGAAGGAGGGGCCCGAGATGGCGCACGCACTGGCGCCCCCTTCCCCGCCCGAGTCGGCCACTGACTCGGTGTCGCGGCGAGACAGGGCGTCAGCCACCGTGTTCAGCCGGCCAGGGCGGTATTCGACGGTGAAGTCGAACCCAAATAGCTTGCTGATCCATTGGTGCTGGGGTACCGTCGACAGACGCTGGTCCAACAAAAACTTCAAACTGTAATGGTCAGTGCGGATGAGAAAATGACGACCCCAGAGGTACGGCCGCCAGTGGCGCACCGCTTGCACCAAACCAATCAATTCGCGCTCATACGCCGCTAGCTTTAAGTGACGAGCCGCGAAGGGCCGGCTGAAGAAAGCGAGGGGGCCGGCGCCCTGATGCAGGACGGCACCAAACCCCACGCCCGAAGCGTCGCAGTCCACCATGAACAACTGGTCGAAATCCGGCATTTGGAGGACCGGTCCGGTAGTGAGGGCGCGCTTGAGCGCCTGGAACGCCTCCGCCGCCTCAGCGTCCCACACAAACGCGTCTTGCCGCAAGAGACGCGTAAGCGGGGCAGCGATGAGTCCGAAGTCCCGGATGAATTTCCGGTAGTAGCCGGCGAGGCCCAGGAACCCCCGGAGGGCCCGGGCGCCACGCGGAGGGGGCCACGCCGCGACGGCAGCCACCTTGTCGGCGTCCATAGCGACGCCCGCAGCAGAGATGACGTGGCCAAGGTAGGCCACCGACGTCGCGCCGAAGGAGCACTTCGAGCGCTTGAGGTGCAGGCGGTGAGCACGCAGCGCATTGAGGATGATGGCGATGTGCTGCAGATGCTCCACCCACGATGAGCTGTAGATCAGAATGTCGTCAAAGAAGATGAGCACAAACCTTCGCAGGAGCGGTCGGAGAACGTCATTCATCAGGGCCTGGAATGTCGCCGGAGCATTGGAGAGGCCAAAGGGCATCACCAGGAACTCGTAGTGCCCGTGGTGGGTGCGGAACGCCGTCTTGGCGATGTCGTCCGGGTGCATGCGCACCTGGTGGTAGCCCGAGCGCAGATCGAGCTTAGTGAAGAATTGAGCCCCATGGAGCTCGTCAAGCAGCTCGTCCACCACCGGGATCGGGAACTTGTCCTTGGACGTCTTGGCGTTGAGGGCGCGATAGTCGATGCAGAAACGCCACGAATTGTCCGCCTTGCGGACCAGCAGCACCGGGGCTGAAAACGGCGACGTGCTGGGCCGAATAATCCCCTGAGCTAGCATATCGCGACACTGGCGCTCCAGCTCATCCTTCTGGAGCTGCGGGTACCGGTACGGCCGCACTGCCACAGGCGGCGTCCCCGGAAGGAGATGGATGCGGTGGTCGTATGAGCGGGGAGGCGGAAGGCCCTGAGGCTCGGCGAAGATGGCGGCGTGCTGCTGTAGGAGACGGTCCAGCAGGGGCTGCTCGGAGACAGCCACCACTACCGCAGTGGGCGCCTACGACGCCGCGTCGGTGGCACCACCCTCACCGCGCCAGACGATGCGCCTGCCCTGGCGCCCGAACGATAGCGTCATCGCCTCGAAGTCCCACAGGAGAGGACCCAAGGTCTTCAGGAAGTCGACGCCGAGGATGAAGTCGAAGCACCCCAAGTCGAGGCCGACGCACGTGATGGCGAAGGACTCGGACCCGACGACGAGGGGTACGTTGCGCGCGATGCCCACACACGGAAGTCGATCTCCGTTGGCGACGGTTACGCGGAGCTGAGCACCCCCCGAGGCACAAAGACCCAGGCGGCGCATGGTGGCACTCTGAAGGTAGTTGTGGGTGGAGCCGGTGTCAAGAAGCGCTAGCAAGCGCACGCCCTTGATGGAGACCGGCAGCAGCATAGTGTTTTCCGTGCGGATGCCGGCCACCGCATGGAGGGACACCACCAAGGCGTTGGCTGCTGTAGGTTCGGCGGCCGGTTCCTCCTCCGCCGGATGAGGCTCATCAGCCGCCGCGTCGGCGGCCAGGAGGTCCTCGTCAATGTAATCATCAGCCTCCAAGTAGAAGAGCCGCGGGCACACATGGCCACGGACGTAGGGTTCGTCACAGTTGAAGCAAAGGCCCTGCCGGCGACGTTCAGCCATCTCCGCCGGGGAGAGACGACGGAAAGGCGGCGCCAGCTGGCGGCGCGCCTTTGGTGTTGGGCGCGCGGCTTTGTCGGGCAGCCCGGCCTCCTCCAGGGGCGGCGGCGGCGGTGGCGGCAGAAGACTGCTGCTTGCAGCCCGTGGTCCCCGGAAGGGACCGGGAGCGACGCGCCAACGCGATGTTCAAATGCCCGGGCGAGGTACATAGCCGTCTGGAGATTCTGCGGATCGCGGAGCTCGACATCCACCTTGATGTGCTCGGGGAGACCACCCACGAACAACTCCGCCTTCTGAGGTCCGGAGATGTTCCGAGAGTGGCAGAGTACCGCGTTGAAGCGCTGCGAGTACTCCTGAACCGTCGATAGGAAGGGCAGCCGCGCCAGCTCGGAGATACAAGTATTCCGCACGGCCGGCCTGAACTGGAGGTTGCACAAGGACCTGAAGCGATCCCACGGCGGCATGCCCTCATCTTGTTCCAGGGCGTAATACCACGTCTGTGCTGTGCCCTTAAGATGGTAGGACGTGAGCCACGTCCGGTCGGACGCCAAGGTGCGCTGCCCGCGAAAAAACTGCTCACACTGATTGAGCCAGTTCAGCGGGTCCTCAGAGCCGTCATATGTGGCGAACTCCAGCTTGTAGAACTTCGGCGGTAGCCGGTCGGAAACGGCGCGTCGACCGGCATGCCGCCAGCCGCCGCTGCGTCCGGGCCGAGGCGAACACTCAGCGGACCAGTTCTTTGCCAGGGACGCCGCCGGGATGAGAGTACCGTCCATGCCGCCGTAGAGGACGCCGGAGACCGACGGGGCGGCGTGGAACACCGCGCAACAATTGTCTTTGGCCGATAGGAAAGGAAAGGACGGCCGGCGCGCGTCGTGGACGATAGAGATCGGGCCGACGTGGCTATCGCCATACGTCGGGATCGGGACGGCGAGGGAAGGAATTGGATTTGGTGGATGGGAACAGATGACGTGCGGGGTGGGGGTGGTTGACGACGGCGGCGGCGGCATGCCATACGGTGCGTGATTGCGAGGTGGGCGTTAAGCGCGGCGGACGGGGTGGCGGCGGCATGGGGAAAAGGTGCGAAGCAATGGTACGTGGTGGTGATCGCCGGGCGTGGAAGCGGTTCTGGAGGACGCCCGCACCTCCTCCATGGAGGCCTACATAGCCGCCATATTACGCTCAACCCAAGCAATGGCCACCGAGGTCTGCTCTCGGACAGAGAACGACGAGGCCTTCGCGCCCGCGAGTGGGCGACGATCGCCCGCAGAGGTCATGGGGCGTGGCGAGGTGGAGGGCGGCGGCGATGATGGGCGCGACGGCGCGGACAGCGGAGGGGAGGACGCGGGTGGGTAAAGCGAGGCCGAGGGCTGGGGACCTGACATCTCTGATACCAGATTGATAGGATTTCGGATCCTACCGGCAAATGGTGGGAGGTTGTAAGGGTGAGAGATCGGGGGACGAGCTCGGCAACGGCTCTGAGGCGCCGTCCTTGCAGCTGGTCGCAACGAAGAGCGAGGAACACGACGAAGGCGCTACAGTATCGCGGTACTGTTCATGGGAGAGAAAGAGAACTCGGCGGCTAGGGTTTCTCCCGGCTCCCTTCAGGAAGCCGGAAACAATAATATGTTTCTGCTTACCAAATTAGTCTCTGATCACAAGTATTTATCTCGTCTATTGAAATATGAAAATAACCCCCTGATTCTATAGAAATTATCTAGACTTAGCCACTAATACCCTTTCGCCGGCTATAATGCATGCCGGTCATAACACCTCGTCACTTCGTTATCTTCTAGAAAAATAATTGGGTGGGAAGGGAGAAGAAAAAAAAAGGGCAAAAACACACCCAAACAGAATTAACCAATATCAGCAAAGCCAGGCCTAGGATGATTCAGAAACTTTCATCTTTCTCAGACGGGAGATGCAGCATTTTCGTCTTCAATCAATTTTTCGTCGTCCTCATTTAGAACAGTTTCATTCACCAGGGAGGGACTTTCAGCTGAATCAGCAACTGCAGGATTGTCCGATCCTGATGCTGGGTCCACGGCTAGTATCTCATCGCCTGCATCAAACAGGCCCTCTCTAACCAAGGCAGAATAGATGTCATGAACATGGATGTCTGGGTTTTGTAAGCTTGCCAGAAGTTCAGCCTCTTCACCCGCTGCTCCACCCATCCTGGTTGCCAAAGCTGGGTCCTGAAGTCATCATTAAGGTAGCATTGTCAGGGGATTCTTCATACTAATGTTCATCAAATTGACATGGACTGTAAGCAAGGACCAACAGAACATCTATCAGAGTGAACATTCTAAAGCAACAACTGCAAAAGTAAGCTGCGGCCTTGGTATGAATCAAACGATGCAAAAGGTAATCATGGCCATATTCAAGTAAAGGCGCATTTAAATTTTAGTTAGCCTACCCCAACTTGTTTGGGACTTAAAGGCTTTGTTGTTGTTGTTGTTGTTGTTGTTAGCAAAGAACTGAAGAAGTAAATAGTAAGAATGGCCATATTTTAGGACCTGGACTGGACTCCAAAAGTTGTCATAGCTATCATTGAGGAAATGGAAAAAAAAATGTAACGAATATTTATGGCTACTACAGTTTTAAATACAAATTTAGGTACACAATTCTACATGAGGAAAGACTCAGTCAGCTTTGCCATGTCAACTGATGAAGACATGAGTGTTACTGCAAGAGTTTGCCTTGGATTTAATAAAAAAAAAATCCTTTTGCACCCACACAGAGAAATATAAAAAGGTGCAGAAGACAAAGCTACACAGAACAGTAGCATGAAAATGGAAGGACATTAACTGTGTTATGGTGTACTTCATTTGTGCTTGTATTCTCTATGGAAGCACCTCGTGCTGTAATACTCGCATCATCATCTGCAAGGAGTATGATAAGGTAGAATAATAAAGAAAAGAAAACTCATCACTTATCTGAACAAAATTATTAAATGGAACAAACTTTATAACAATACCAAAATTGCAAGAATAAAAAACAAGGCTATGGTGATATAATTACTCAATTAGTCAAACGAAAGCCAAGCATTGGCAGAAACAGAAAAGGAGGAGACACATACAGAACTTGTAAGGATTAACAAGTGCAGCTTCCAACATTGCTCTGAATTCTCGTGACGCAGATACTAGAGAGTCCGTTTCCCCCTAGATTACAAAACCAACAGGTTTAATGCTCTGTAGAAATACACATATTTCCATATCTAGCTAAGAGATTAGATACCTTAGAACATGTAAAATATCGGATGGCTCTGTGAACGAATAATATAATAACCGGCGGTTTCAATGTGATCCAAATATTTCCATGTAATGAATCAACTACCTTTTCAAAACCTTGCTGCACTCCAAGCATTTGAGATCCAAATAGATCATCAGGACCAGAGTCTGAAGACTCCCCTTGAAACTCTCGCAACCAGCTGAAGTCATCAGTCATAGTTTGTGCATCATCTGTTTGAACAAATAAATAAATAAATAGACTCAAATTAATCTGTTCATGGAAAGAGGGAGACTTTTTCTGAAGAAATAAAGAAGAAAAAAATCAGTATTACCTGCTAAGCCACAACTATTATCATGATTATACTCTTCAGAACCAATAATATGCGGGAGAGGACTGTATGTGGACATAGCCTTCAAGAGTCAAGAAGTGAACCCAAGTCAAAATATTAAACAAAAATCAAATCCTGAGGAATTTCAGGGAAATTGAACTTGAGGAACTTAGGAAAAGGAACTAGATGCTAGATGGACAGTGGGGTACTGCCTAGTTGGACATCTGGGCTGGTGAGGAGGTTATTAGTTTCAAGGCAGGAGGCGATCTACAGGCCTAGGAAACCAATTGGCATAGCTAAACAATCCCATTATCATATAAGAGTTGCCAAATTTTGGTTGTGTGGACTAGATTTGCATGCATTTACATCCTGTCAAAATTATAGCAAAATTCAGTTCAAAATACCAAACAGTTCCATTTTCATGCCAAATCCATGGTAATGAAAGGGTCTGTTCCCTATGTATGTTTTCCAAAATTTGGTCATGAAATTGACCACACCCATGAATTGGCAAGAAAGTGAACTAACATGCCAAGGGAAATGGGATCTTGTCAAAATTTGGCAAAAAACTAAATGGATGTGAAACCCGGTCCACATGCACCAATTCAGGTAACCAACAAGTGGCTCTTGCTCCTTTGGCTTCAAATCAAACAAGCACAAATTCATGACAAAATTTTACTATCCTAAATGTTGGCACTAAATAAACAGCTGTCAACATTCCTTTTGCAAGTAAAATCACCAATACTTATTGGACAACATCTCTCCAATGAATCTAGACTTTGCAGAAATCAATGACCATACAACCAGATCTTACCCTGAAAACAGAGGTGGTCGAACGGCCTTTCTTTTGAAAGTGATCCTTACAGGAAGCAAGTCCTATATGTAATGCTTCTTTGTATCTTGGTAAAATATCACGTTCATAATCCTGAGCTCGCACTTGCGACTGAGTAGAACTTCGTATACTGTCTCTTGTTTTCAAGTTTATATGATCTTCATCAGAAACTTTCTGCAGTTGAAGCCATGAATGACCACTCAGCAATGATGGTTATTTTGTTACTTGATGAGAAATAAATACATTGCTTGCTGAAACTATATAATAAGTAACAGCTGGCCTAGGAAATGTGTGCGAGATCAAGCACAGTCAGACAGCATGAAACCAGCAGCGGATCCAGCATATATGGACTGGTGTCAAGTGACACCGATGCGGCGATGCCATCAAGCTAAACCTATGAAGAAATTCACTGCTTATGAGGTATTGTGAAGTATTTTCGGTAATTCATGTTTATGGTCACCCCAATGTTTATATGGTGACACCAGTGAACTCAATTTCTAGATCCGCCACTTGAAATGAACAAACCAATCATATGTTCATCCAAAACCAAATCCTTTCATCACCTCAAGTCAGCAGACAACAATCAATTGTGCAGCAACCATAATTGTACTAAAAAGAGCAATCGAGATAATGACATGCACAACAGATTGGAACCTCCACTTGCATGTTCAGTGAACCTTTGCCTGGTGAGATTGTCGAAGGCGAGCACAGCCGTCTTCATGTCCAGCTCCAGCGCCCCGGCCTCCTCCAGCAGCCCATTCACCTCCGCGGCAGCCTCTTTAGCTCTCTCCTCCACCCTGTCAGAGAAATGCTGCAGCCACTTCAACACCTGCAATGTGAGAAGAGAAAAGCACACCACACGTTACTTCGAGCAGGACGAGGGCATCGGGGTGGGGTTTGGTCCTCGATTCTCGAGCCTGAACAAGAAGATCTCAGCGGTTGAAACGGTGATGGGCGGTTTTGCTGTTGATTCGAGCGAGTGGACGCAGGGATCGGCCTCGGCAGTCGGCGGCGGCGGCAAGAATCGCAAGAGCAGGGCGTGATTAGACAGGTACCTGGTTTTGGATTCCGACGTGCTTGGCGATGTAGTTAGAGCCGCCGACGCCAACGCCATCGCGGCGGGTTTCTCCTGCCCAGCGGTGGCCACCCTGCGCCTCCATACGAGCATGCCCCTCCGGCCCTCCCTCTCCCAGCGCACCACGCTCTTCTTCCTCTCGCCCTCGCCAGTCGCCACACGCTCCAGCGGACTTTCGCAGGCTCGCAGCCTGGAAGCGCTTTTGCGGTTGTGATTTGCGTACCCGCTTTGTTAGATGAGAAGCGTCTTGGACTTAGAAAACGCCTCCGCTGGCTCGGAGATTGGACCCGAGATGGAGCAAAGTACCTGGGCCTAACTCGGCCCGTGCTAGAGTTAGAGTGGGCCAGAGGGCCTGAGTCCAGCATGTCTCAGCTTGCATGGATGTCCATGTCCTTTTCTTTTCTTCCTTTGATGAGATCTGAAATGCGTTCTGAGTTCTGTTTTGCTCGAGTCGGCGGACGAAAATGCTGCACGAACATTCTGTCAGAGTATGCATGAAGGGACTACGCGTTCAGGTTCATAGTAACTCGTGGGCTCGTGGCATAAACCAATTTCAGCGTGGTATACAAAAGCAAACGGACAAAGAGTTGCTACCAGCCGGGGACGGGGGACTGGCTAGCTGTCTCGTGTCTCCGTCGCGTACACGAAGAATTCGACTGTATACACAGTGGAATCCATTCCGACGAGTGCCAAATAGAAGGAACAATGCATCCCCGAATTGGCCAATAAGCCCTGTGTTCGGTAAACCAGAACAACTGTCACACTTCACCCACTAATCATGCATGCAGAGCAGAGCCACTGAGCCAGCATGCCAACAATAGGATCCCATCAAACGGATTTGGCACCAAAGGGCCCAAACGGGTTGGGGAATACTTATTCTCTGTTTAGATCTTATGGTCTAAGGTTTAGTTGACTAAAGTTATAGCCAAATTTAAGATCACTTTAGCTTATTTGTGTGGTCTAATGATCTAATGGTCTTTTTATGATGTTAGCTAGAGTACCTATTTAAATTCTCAAGAGATGAAGTAGCCTAAAGTTTAGTCACGTGTCTTCATCAGTTGGCATGGCAAAGAAGACCACGCACTGAAGTCCGATTGTTGTTTCTTCCCGTTTGCCATGTCAACCGATGAAGAGATGAAGAAATCATGCAAGCAGAGAGCCAACAGTCAAACTCCTGTGACATTCTATGGTACTCTTTTGCCAAACCTTTTGCCATGTGAACCCATGAAGACGGCCTATTTAACGCTTGTCATGGTGCGAAGGTCCAACTCGAAACTACCTTTGGCATGTTTTCTTCATGCTATAATACACGTGTAAATTTTTGTTATCTTTATTATATGTTTTTCTTATTACCACGTACGGTCACAGACCTAGTATACGTCTCTCTCTATGATCTCTTTATCACTCTATGTGGCCTATTGCCTCCTAAGGTCAATGATAACTGCGATCTGCATCGGAGATTGGGGTCGATACATTCAGACGGCCACGTTGCCATTATCATCGTGCTATTCTTTTTAATACTAAAAGGAATGGTTGACTTGAGGGGTTGATCAAAAGGCTGTCAATACAATAACACCGGCCTACCACCAGTATACATCATTACGACGATGCTAACCGTGTGGTAACATAATCTAGCCAGCCACACAATCTGCATCCTCCTGTCATTTTTGCAATTTAATTTAGCAACGTCTTCGCTCATGGTATCTTTTCCCCCGTCTGCAAGTGGGTACCACCAGTACCACCGCAGCTAAAAGATATAAGCCATGTTCGCTTGTTTATAAGTCGTATTTTTCCAGTCAATGAATAATATTTTTATCTTATAACAAATCAGCCAACAGTACTTTCAGCCATGGCTTATCAGCCAAGCGAACAGGACAATAGATGTGTTGGCCTGTATGCTACTCCTCCATTCTAAATTCTAAATTTTGATTTTCTAGATACATAGATTTTTATTATACACTTAGATAACACTATCTAGATATATACTCAAAATAATATATCTAAAAATATCTAAAAGCCTTATAATTTGGACGGAAAAAATACTTTGTAAAATGTAGGATTATTATAGTTTCTTTGGGTGAGTTGTACGCACCAAGAGCAATTTTCTTAGGATGAGGATGTTATGCAAAAAAAACTCTCGTAGGAAGCAAGATAGTCCCGGGACATTGCATTAAGAAGAATATCTCAGCCAGGTCGAGAAAAACCCCAAACATCTGCCCCACCCATGTACAGCGGTAGCGTAGCCCATATAACAACGACCATGACAGGGCCGGACCTTATACCTGTGCTTTGGCGTAGAATTCTTAGAACAAGGATGCTATGTGTTTCATCGTTTTTTACTAAAGTGGCCGCGGATATAAGAACCATACGCTATAAGATTTATTTAAGTATGCTTTTTTAATTTAACAGTTGACGTGTACTAAATAGTTGAAGTCTTGAACACTGGTTTTGATAAATTATTTACTTTTGTAAATCCTTTTTTATTTCCAATCTAATCTGATTTTAAAACATAACTAATCATTTAAAATATCCAATATAATATTTATTAAAATACTTAATACATCGCAACACAAACATATGTCAAACTACAAATCGCTAAAACTTAATAATATCTCACATATGTTAAGTTTTAGCCAGCTAGTAAAGTGATCCCCGCAAATAGCACATGTATAGGATGTAGCTAGCTTTCATCCAGATGTCTTTAATTGATTTTTAAATAGTTTGTTTATTTGATTTATTGTATGTAATTGTCTTCTCTTCTGCGCCTACACCATATCCATCGATCGGCATAAATTTTGCTACTACCGCCAACAACTTAATGGCTTAAAGCCATTGCTCACTCCTATCTTGTGACGATGCCAAAACATTTCGGCCATGACTACAAGGAATGAATGTCTTGGTGAACTTTGGGATGAGAAGAATAAGCTAAGATCTTGATGTGTAGAGCATGGCGAGGGAAGGAGTGGCATGGGTATCAGGAGTATTTTATGATTTTTATGAGCATGACATTATTGCTCGGTTCAGATAGCTCTTGTATGTACATTAGTGTAATACCTTCCATAGACATTCTGCGTGGTTTTCTTGTTTTTATTACCATAACAAAATTCAGTTGTAATTCTATTTGAATTCAACACCATCATCTATTTATATACTTGAATATGTATTGAATCTTTATTTTTAATAGTTATAGACTATTACAATCTAGATATATAGGATCAATGTGTCAGGGAATGTTTGGCATGGGCTCCTCCTCAAGTGCCCCTCTGAGAAATCGAAGCACAACTACAAATTGCATCTCCTCCTCTAGGCCTCAAAACGGCTTTGTCTCTTTTACTATTCACCAGAAAATGACTCCTCCCAAAATATTTGGTATGGCTCCTCCGGTTCCTCCACAAAAGCTGTTGCTTGAGTTGGAGCTGGAGCCGTATCAAATATGATCTTAGATTTTATCATTGAAAGCATCTAGGCCTCTAGTTGGGTTTCGGTGATTAATGATAATATGAGATTATTATGACTAACGTGTGTTTTGCAGAGGCTAATTTAAGTTAGGTCATGGTAATGTCAATTGATTGGGCAATCATGGTTGTCATGCCCCTACGATGGAAATCGTTTTGTTTTTCAAAGGATGGACGCCAAGGTTAAGGATGGACTAGTTCTAAGTATCGTTTGGTGTTGAAGTGACACTTAGAGTAGTTTAGGACTTTGTTTTTCCTTTGGTCGTACTATTAAGGGGGGTATGTCCTAATAGTTTGACTTAGGTGAGTCTAGTGAGTTAGGTGTGGTGCACACTTATCAAATCTAGCACTAGGTAGCTCCGGAGTAGCCCTAAGATTAATTGGAGCAAATTTCATTCACATATAATTTCGAGTTGGAAGTGAATGAAGGATCAAATAACTGACCGGACGTTGGTCTGGTTGTGACCGGACGCTGAAGGGTGAGTCTGATCAGTTCATTTGATCAACTGGAGCCATCTGGTTGCGACCAGACGCTGAGTGAAAAGTGACCGGATGCTGGGTGCTAGAGTCCGGTCAACTCCAGAGAGGTTCCAGAGAGGGAGATTCCTAATCGGATGTATCCGGTCAGTGCTGACCGGATGCTGGTCAAGATCCGGTAACTGACCGGACGCTGAAAAGCGAAGTGATCGGACTCTGGGCGTCAGCGTTCGGTCAACATCAGTAAGGTTCCAGAGAGCAGTTTTCATGACCGGATGCGTTTGGTTAGTGCTGACCGAATGCAGGTCAGAGTCCGGTCAGAACTTAATGGCTCTTTCTGACACAGTAGCGGGGATAACTGACCGAATCGTCTGATCACCCTGACCGGAGCGTCCGGTCACCCCGCAGAGTGATGACTCAACCTTCAAACGTTATGTTTTGAATGAGGGGGTATAAATACTTACTCCACACGTCCAAGGAAGGTCTCTTGCCCATTTGTTCAGCTAAGAAACACCCTTGAGAGTGTAAAGGAGAGCAAGAGCCTAGTGAGGTGATTGAGATTTGAGAATCCAAGATTAAGGCCTCATTAATGCAAGGAGAGTAGTAAGTGTGCATCCACCCTTCTTATTAGGCTTGTGGTCAAGTGAGAGTTCGTGCTTGTTACTTTTGGTGATCGCCATCACTTAGATGGCTTGGTGGTGATCGGAAGCTTGGTGATCATCCAGCGGAGCTTGTGGATGGCCCAACTCAAGTTGTGAGCGGTTGTGGGCAATTCATCGCGACGAGTGTTGAAGAATCAGCCTGTAGAGAGCACTTGATCCTTGCGCGGATCAAGGGGGAGCTACACCCTTCCTGGGTGCTCCAATGAAGACTAGTGGGGAGTGGCAACTCTCCAATACCTCGGCAAAACATCACCACATTCCTTCTCCTCTCTTTACTTTAAGCATTTACATTTGAGCAATTCATTTCTTGTTTTACATTCTTAGAATTGTCATGCTAGAGTAGGATTGGAACCTAGGGTGCAAAACTTTTATGCGGTAGAATAATAGGAACATATTGTAGGCACAAGGGGTGAAGTGGGCTAAGTGTAGGGTTTAACTATTGCAGAGAATTTTAGAATTAGCCCAATTCACCCCCCTCTTGGGCATCTTGA